GCCTACAGACCGTGGCGGGCTGGTACCTGTTGTTGTATCTGAGGCGCGTACCCGATGATTTGACAATGCGCTGATGCGCTTCGTAGTCCCATGCTCTCTGACATGACGCGCTCCGCGTCATGGTTTCTTTATTTAGATGTGACACGCCCAGAGCACTCTACGCTGGCGCTCGTTTGACACCCCGACTCGTTTGTACCTAGTCTCACCTTTGTAAGGACATTTCATTGGTTATGATTAGATTAGAAAATACTATAGCTATAAAAGAACACGGTGTAATATTTCGACAATTTATCGTACATTATTCATGAATCCTCCGCCTGCGCGAAGATTCCTACAACAGGTTATGAGCCCCGCGCTATAATCTACGGTCACCGACATCACTGCAGGGTCGTCCTGAACCCTTTCCGCTGTTGATCAAACCTTGATCAACCCTGTGACATCACACGTCGTCCAGAACAAACTCTATCTAGGCGCGGCCGACGATCAGTGTTCCAGACAGTATGGACAGTACCCCGAAGATTGAGCTTCTGAAGGGCACGGAGAATTATTTTGGCTGGAGCATCCTTGTCCAGGACATTCTCACCGGGATGGATCTTCTAGAATATCCCAAGGGCACTAAGAAAATACCCACCGACACTGCGCTCATCCCTGACTGGACAAAGAACGGCCGCAAGGCACTCATCGCCATCCGCCTTCGGTGTTCCTCCGCAGTCATCACACACATCACCGGTTGCACCACCTCAAAGGCAGCATGGAACATCCTCACGAAGACGTTTGCGAACACTAGCGTTATGTCTCGGATCACGGTGTCTAAGAAGTTGCAGAGGACTAAGATTGCGGAGGGGGCAAGCATGGAGTCAGAGATCCGTCAGATGAAACAACTCTACCTGATGATTAACCAGATGGGTGGTATCATGAGCGATGAAGACTTTGCTCAGAATATTCTTGGCGCACTTCCCCCATCTTGGGACTCATTAATCAATTCCATGCAGACTACTTCCTCCTCCGACGAGGTCATCAGACGCATTCTATCAGAAGAAGCACGTCAAAGTGACCGCGCTACCACCTCCACTGCTTTTATCGTGAAGAGCGCCAGCAAGCCGAAGCGGAAATCCAAGTTCTGCAAGGGCGTCATCTGCCACAATTGTGACAAAGAAGGTCACATCAAGGTCGAGTGCTGCTCAGCACCAAAGACCCAGACTTCTGGTAACGGCAGCAGGTCATCCGGATCAACATCTCATGCCCATGTGGTCGAGCTAGATAGCAAGACCGACTTGTACGCCTTCACCTCTAGTGGGGGCGCCTCCGCTTCTGCAGTTCAGGGGGAGATTTGGCTGGGTGATACCACGGCGCAGAACCATATCGTGCGTGACCGCTCTGCTTTCACAACTTACACCAAGACACCGGGAAGTACCATCTCGGGTGTTGGTGGCGCTTGTGCTGCACCGGGCCGCGGTGATGTTCGCGTCATGTTCATCACCAAAGCCGGAACCGTTTCTGTCACTTTGAAGGGCGTCCTGCACGCGCCAACCATGCAATACAACTTATTGTCACTCGGTCGTTTGTCAAGCGGAGGCATCACATTTATTGGTAAGGGGGACGAGCTGCACCTAAAGGATGGTGCACGCGCGATTGGTTTTGGGCGCAAGGCAGGTGATGAACTCTATCACATGGACATCCAGACCTGCCCCCCAAAACCGTCCCCCGAGTCGCGCGCGCTCGCAGTGCGCACTACTCGTACATGGTACGAGTGGCACTGCGCGCTGGGTTACATCAATCGAGGCCAGCTGCAAGAGATGCAGAAACTGGGCCTGGTTAATGGGATGGCGGTCGATACCACATCAGACCCTGACTTTGATTGTGATACGTGCACCCAGGCCAAGCACTCACGTGCTCCATTCCCCGAGATCGCTACAACCCGCATCCATCAGATAGGCGATCTTGTCTTCTCGAACATCTGGGGACCTGCCCAAGTTGCTTCCCTCCAGGGAAATCACTACATCATCAGTTTCACCGATGCCGGGTCTCGGTATGTAGTGATATTCTTCATGAGAACTCGAGACACCGCCCTTGATCGCTTTAAGCAATTCGAACGCCTTTTAGAGACACAGCTCAGGCGGCGCATCAAAGTTGTCCATGTGGACAATGCAAAGGAGTTCACGGAGGGTCAGTACAAAGCTTACCTAGATTCGCGCGGCATCATTTTGCGCACCACGGCACCCTATTCCCCTCCTCAAAATGGAGTTGCGGAACGCCTTAATCGCACCCTTGCCGAACGCGCACGCGCAATGCTGCTCGCGCATGAGCTTGCGAAGTTCCTTTGGCAGGAAGCTTTCGCCTATGCCTGCTATTTGAAGAACCGAATGCCTACCCGGTCACTTCGCGGCGTTACGCCCTACGAGCTTTTTTGGGGCAAGTGCCCGGACCTGTAGGACACACAAGAGTTTGGCGTTCCATGCTGGGTCCTCGTCCCTGCAAACCGATGCAATGGCAAGCTTGATGCCAAGTCAGAGAAGTATGTCTTCACTGGCATTGGCGAACACAGCGCGGGATGGCGCTACTACGCGCCAGGTATGAGACAAATTTTGTTCTCACGCGATGTGATTTTTCAACGACAGCGCGCGGCATCCATTCCCCTCGTCGGCGGTACCTCCGTGCTTGAGGGGGAGAGTTCTACAGGTACACTTACTGCTACACCTACCAAGCCCGAAACTTCTGCCGTCACCGAGCCATCCCCACAGACTCAGACACTTGCGAAACCAC